CGAAACGAAACGAAATCGAATCTGATCGAACGGCCTCGGTTTCGACGGGCGTGGTGGATCAGCACAACGGATTGGTTTTGCTTTGCTTTGATTTGATTTGATTTGGGTCGAATCGCACGCGGGGCTCCGTAGCTTCTYGTCTCGGTCGTGCYGGTGGAATGCGTCCGTTGGTGTCGAACCCCCTGGTGTGTCTACCGCGGAACGCGGCACCGCGCAAACGACGAGCGGACCGCGGTGCAACAGGCCACGGACTCGCGGCGGGCTTGCCTCGTCTGGATCGGACTGGTTTGTGGGTGGTGTGTCTTCGTGCCGCAAGCGACGAGACACGAATGGTGCGGGCACCGTGCCCACGGTGGCTGTTTTCTCCGTGTTGTGCACCGGAACGATTCCATCCTTCCTGGTGAATCAAACTGTGGCAAGTAGTTTGGTCAAAYAGCGGTATCTTCCGTGGATAAACCTGTGTATGTACTTCCAGACCTCTCTTTCGAACAAACCCCGCCCCGTCAACAATCCACTCGATTTCTCAAAACGAAACCAGACAAACATTCATTTCACTTCGATCAACACGACGAAACAAGCAAGAAAAAGAAATGCATGGCACCAAGCTAGTGCAAGACTACAGCTATAGAGCAAAGAGATGGCTTTGGATTGTTTAAGCATATATACAACACTATGTTTTGCTATGCTATGCTTTTTGCCATGGTCGCAAAACAAACAAACCTGTCTAAGGGTTAGACAGTTTGGCTTCAGTCATTTGTGCATGAAATATGTACATCATGGTGTGTCCGCACGGTGGCGTCCCGYGCCTCGGGTTGGGTTGGGCTTCCTCAGTGGTCAAAGACGTCCGTCCAGGATCCGTCGGTGTAGCATTCCATGGACGTGATGGGTTCGAAGGAAACAATCGAGACCTGGCTGTCAAAGGTGACCGAGTGGCGCAGGCTTTTGTTGGTGTCGTCGCTGGCGCTGCTTCGATCGCTGTCGCCGAGTTCGCTGTGCCTCCGCCGCAGGCAGGAAGTGAGGACCTTTTTGGAGCTTGCCTTTTGGGAAGCCACCTCGGAGCAGCTGTAGCTCCGCAGACGCGACCGGCGACGGCCTTCGAGGGTGGGAAGGACTGCACCCTCGTCGAACGAGGCCGGCAGCAGGGTCATGTGCTTGTGGCTGGACAGAAACCCCTTGACCTCGGATTCCATCGGGTCCGCTTTCGAGCGGCAGGAGGCCCCAAAGATCGATCTSCGCGCCGGAGACACCGAGAGCGCTGGATGTTGGTCTCTGGGGGAGAAGGAGCTTCGAGCCGCGGACGCAGCAGGCCGATCCGGAGAAGAGTGCGGCCCCCTCGAATCATTYGTGGTGGCTTGGGTGGTGCTCGAGCTTGTTGCTCCCCCATCACTCCCGGTCTTGGCGACGGCGTAGTGGTTCAGCAGGGGAGACCTGGGATCCCTCACCAGCGCGGCGATCGGAGCCGCCGGCAGCTGGGGCGTGTGGTTCCGCCAGTACTTTGGAAAGATCTTGCGGCGAAAGGAGGAGAGGTCCTCGCAGGACGAGGACAGCGACGACGATAGCGAAGAGGACACCGAGCCGCAGGACCCGCTCGAGGTCATGCTGCAGGTGGCGCTTGCGGTGCTCGCGCCGTCGCTCCCATTTGCGCTTGCAGAGATCGTCTTGCTTTCGTTGGGCTCTTGGGTRTGGTCGCAGCTGTATCTGTCGTATCTGYTRCAGTGGCCGTTGTGCCTGGTGACGGAGAGCTCTTCGTCCAGCTGTACGGACAAGAGGCTCCGGCTAGGCTTGCTCTTGCAGTTGCAGTCACCGGTCGAGGCGGTRTTCTTCGGAGAGGGGATCGGGATAGCGATTGTGCCCTTGGAAAAGGGGGCGTTGTAGAGGGTCATTGTGGTGTTRTCTTGGGTTGTGTTRCGTGTTGCTGTGTTGYATGAACGCGAGGGASAGTATGTATCGGGGGCAGCTCGTTTGTTTCKCRAACCAACACGGTGCGAACGTTGKCTTCTTCTCGGGTTTGGTWGGCGGATCTGTTCTAATGGAAGATCGGAAACGATGTGGTGYGGTGCGGTACGGTGAGTGTTTGTTGCGGTGCAGTGTGGTGGAATGGATCGGAAGACACGATCTGATCGGAAGATTGGTCTTTGGTCGCCCTACAACGCGATRCGATGAGTGTTCTGTATTCTTGTACGAGAAGGATGCTAGTTCTTACTTTTATTACGRTTGCAACCGATTCAATGAACGCGTGATTGTTAGTGTATCACTCTAGATCAAACGAYGTGAAAGATATTCTTGTTTTATGCGTTTCGAAAAGGAAACAGAAACAACCACTCGGCAGAAAATAAGTGTTTCGGAAACAGTGAGCGGAATAAAAACTGCTTGGTTAAAAAAATAGCTGAATGCTTTACCAGTCCGACGCCGTATCCATCCAATTCCTACTAGCAATTTCTTCTGTCTGCGTTCCGGAAGAGGAGGAAACGAGCGATGCATTCTTCTAACAAGAGCAGCTGCGTTGCGCAAGGGGACTCCGAGCTGTAGAAACAAGAAAAGCAAATAAGATCACTTTACCAATGTACGGTTTCAACCGCTATATAGAAAAGCGAATAACAATCATTCATTCTTCCTTYTCCGGCAAGGAACAAGAATGAGACCAAAAAAGAAGAACGACAAATATAGCGAGGGCGATTCTCATTGGCTATTTTTATCGATGGGGCACAAATTCCGTTCCTTTTCTCCTTGCTGCGTCAACCCCCAAGCAATGAGTACGATTCCTTAAGTTKCGTACCGTAGAGAAGACGAGAGAACAACAAGCGATTGTTTCTTCGATGCCATGCATTCGGCGAGGAACAATATTCCCGAATGGAATTGTTCCCGAAGAATAAATATGATGTCATCATTTCTACAAAGAACGATTGGTCGCTAGAAAAGAATACCGTTGATACSGAGCACCCCCGCATGTAGAAACAAAACGTACAAAAGTCAGACATTCCTTTCTCTCTCCAGAAGAGATCTCAGTCGTGCTGCATCGACAGATGTATTCGACCCGCCGTACAGTTGTACCAGGTACTTACGTACTTGGGACTGGTCCCGCACATTAAGTACAAGTGTTATTAGTATGTTCCTAGCCAGCACCTGCACGTTAGCGCATTACGCTCCTCACGAAAAACTAAGCTGCCTCTCCTTCAAAAAGAAGCAGAAGAAAGCGTTCGTTTCCTCCCTTCGGATTTCTCTTGTTCGGCGCGAAGAACATTTGTATAATGGGGGAGAGATCATCGTGCTTTTCTATAATTCTACGCCGTACTACCCTGCCGTATCGTATCGCCGTATAATTATTGGTCTCGATGACGCGTCGATTATAATGCAAGCTTCCAAGGCCCAAGGCGGCAGGCRTGAGTGCGATCTCGAACAAAGAACACTMGCAACTGCGACCCGCGGCACGTTCCTCGATCGATACCGGAAACAAGCACACRCCCTTTTGGAAGTGCGTACKTACGTACTTGYGTCACATTCTGAGGATCGCGACAGAAGCAGTTTGGGGAGATGCGAGATCTACGAGTTACTTCGAGTCAATGAGATTCGTTCCTGCATTCCTTGTCTTCGATGTATGTATGAATGAATCGAATGAAACCGAAGAGGGCAACGAAGAGCGARGCTGTAACAACGATTCCAAAATTCCTTCCCTCGAGCAGAACCCGATGCAAAGACCGAAGTTCAAGATTCCTTCGCTGTCGCACAAAAACACACAGGCAAGCGCACGCGCATSGTTCGATGCACCGCTATCTCTTCTCTCTCACTCTCAGTCTGACTGTTAGTGGTAACAGGTTTTGTGGAACGGATAAACGAATCGTCGGTCCAGTGTCATCGGCGTGAACAATAAAGAGGGGCAATAGCACTATTATACCAKAATCGTATGACGAGTAGCATTACAGAGTATGTGTAGCGAGCKTGCCGTCTAGCTGCTTCTTTCCGGTTTTGCCACCGCCGTGACGAGACGCTCTATCAGYACAGCTTTTCGCCCGGATACCTTTTGGCCTCGTTCCCTGAGCATCTCCTTGAGTTCGACAACCGTGTGTTTCTGGAGGTCTTGGTACTCCTCCCCCTTTGCCTTGCTCGGTTGGCTTTCGTCCAGCAGGTTCCAGAGTGCCTTGTGGATCTCCACCAGCGCCAGCGTATCCAGCTTGCAGTAGGCAAGGAGCGCGGCCCTCGTTCGGTCCCATGCGTCGCCCTCCCCACGGACCCCCGATACCATCTCCGCAAATGCCACGCTGGCGGCTCCCCCGTCGGCGATTCCGTAGCCGTGTTCGTGCCCAAGCCCCCCCGGCACCAGCAGGTCCTCGTAGGCCTTCTCGAATCCCGGCACCAGCGCCGGAAGCGTCACCTTGATGCTGGACCTGCCGCGAAACAAGGGGTGCGAGACGCATTCCCGAATGATTTTTTCGAGATCGACCAGCCGGTGGTCGATCGCGTGGGAGATCGATGGCGCGTGTTCCGGGAAGAGCTCCGCGAGCCTGGTAAGCTGCGTCTTTTCGTAGGAAGAATAGACCARGATTGGACCACCAAACAACTCAGGCCACGATATGCTGCCACCGGAAGCATCGTACCCCAGATCGACCAACAGTCGCTCCAGCAATTCCTTTCGGCAGTCTTTTTGCGGGTCCGCGAGGTATTCATCGTGCGCCAGCTCGATGCTGTCGCTATTGCCACCATCTCCTCCTCCAACGAGACCGTTTGGGTGGTGGTGGAGCGAATACTGCGTCACCATGGTTTGGTAGGGCGACATTCCGGGGTAGGGTGGCCTCAGCATCGACACCGCCTCGAAATCGAGGTACCGGACCCTTGGGCCCAACTTCCGGATTCGTTTTAGGTAGAATTCCAGYCGGGTTGGTGCAAACACCACCACCTCGTTTCGGAGGACGGCAGTCCGAAAGTGGCGCTGGGGCTTGGTCAGGAGGATGGCTTCCTCCCCGGGGCTATCGAGGACSAGGTCGGCGATTTCCAGYGTCGGGAGCGATCGCTCGAGGATTTTCGAGAATCKCTTCTGCGCCAGCCTCGGGAGCTCCCAGATGGTGTGTCTGGGCTTTACTCCTCCATTGTGTTTGGTGCCAGCTGGTCCACACTCAACCCCGAACAGCTCGCACTTTCCGCAGGCCAGCTTGTACTCAACCGGTGGKGGCAGCGAGTCGTCCCCCGCTTCGTCGCCTGCACCAAARGCCTCCGCGATTGCACCTTCTCCGCTGCCCCTGCCGGTAACTCTGTCGATTCGTTCCGTGGCTWGRCCCATCTCGCTCTCGGCAATGTAAGCGTCAACGAGGTCCGTGCAGTCGATGGTGGTGTAGAGTCGGTTGTTCTGCTCGTCGCCATCGTCGACTTTGCTCCGAACGTAGTTCGGATCCACCATAATCAGCGACGCCCTGTCGACGGAACATCCTGCTGACCGAGCGACGTACACTGTAAAGGCGAGGTCCGGGACCTTCTTTCGAAAGGATTTCTCGGTGGCGCTCTTGATCTCCAGGATTTCCCACGAGAGCGGACCCGTCCGGACAACGGCGTCGGCGCGGGCCAGAAGGTTGCCGGTGGCAAAGGTCGGCTGGAGGAGCGTGTTTACTGCCACCGCSTCCCCAYTAGCGCCACCCTTTGGTGGGTCCATCAGGGAACGGGTTGCGAGCGCCGCCCGGTCCGGCGATCGTTCCTCCACTACGGCCGTCCGAAGATCGGAGAGCATCCGAACCCCACCTTCGCTTGCGGAGGGAGTCTCGCCGCAATCCTCCGAAAGAACCGGGGCCGGACCGCACTCGCGGCCGTTCTTCTGGTGGTATCCATATTTRTGGGCGTACACGTGGTCTTCAAAGTCTTTTCCGTCCCGAAACAAAAACTCCCTCATCGTTTGGTCCTTCTSTTGCTCCAGCTGAGATGGGAGGCGATTCCGACGGGAGAACCATCCCAACCTGGGRCATTTCAGGGCTTCATCGTACAGCGACTTGTTGATGCGACGCAGCGGATGGAGAGTCTCCTGAGTGTGGCTTGGCTGGTCTGGGACGCCGGTACTATGCAGACGACAACGACAACGACAACGAGTCGTCGAAATCGTCGAATGGGGCAACAGAAATGACAAAAATCTCGATCGCACCCGAGCCCTGGAKTTGGAGCACAGCGACAGCATCATCTTCGGACTGGGTTGCAAGATCGTTATGCTGCTCGCAATATTTCCAAGCGGAAGAAGAGATATCGATTCTGGATGGTTGGATCGAAACAACGGCGGCGGAACTCCGCCGTATATGCGACTCCTTGCCGTTTTCGTTGTCGTTGGTTTCCTTCTATAAAKATCCCAACATCTTCTGCGTTCTGCTGATCAGTCTTCCGCCATGTCCCTCCTGCAGTGTATGACACCAATCAAATTCGAACCAAAGCTTACCAGCTCGTCTCGAWTAGCAGACGGGTTGATGCAAAAGCAATATGGGTTGAGGGTACGACGATGGTGATGCTTGTACGAAGAAACATCATCCCTCGGTATTTTTACGATTTTACGATTTTCGACAAGAGGAACGAACCAATGATGTTGATGTCACGCGTGTGAGGCTCAATCCCTAGTAGATAGTGAATAAACTCACTCGGCACTAAAGAGCACACGTACATTTTGCATGCGCAACAGAAGCTTCATTTGTACTGTAAAGAGCTCCTCATGTCAAGCACATAGAAGTAATTGAGAATCAATATTAGTACTTACTACTGGATCACCTCAATTACTACTTACCAGTTGGGATGTCATAGTAGTGAACAATGCGAACTGCTGGGTAAGGGGGTTCTGTTGGTGCTGCTCTCAGTAGTAAGCACTGATTTTATATCCCCAGTAGTAGTAGTACTACTACTAGTAGTAATAGAAATATTTTGGGACTACTAGCAAGAAATTAAACAATGGAAATATTTTTATTTTTGTCTGTTGGATGCCTTTTTTAACTGGTTTTAACTGTAAAAATGAGCTAAAATTTTCTACTAGCAATTGCACGGGAATTGCCAAGTAGTTGACTTTAGTGCGCTTGACATTGGGAGCTCTTGTACTGTACTCAACATCATGTAATCATGTAAACTCATACTGTATGAACTGCACCTATCAACAGAGTTGATACGTGCAGTTTTGGTTGATTCTGTACCAACTACGTGGTCAATGTAGTACGGTATTCAGGTGATTTATAAAATTAGTAGGACTATAAGGACTGAGATAGAATGAAAAATGAAGGTAAATGAATGAGAATCTGCCGGGTTGGATTTCTGTAGTACCTCCAACCCGGGACTTGATCTGGAATGTCCAAGGGGTGCTGGCTGGCGTGTTGGCTTTCTTATCTATGCTGTTTGGTCTAGTGGTGATACTGAAATACCTCCATCCAATGCCCCACCACCTCTTGGAACCAACAAAATATGTGAACTGTTCTAAAAGGACGCAAACATATCAAAACGCATCATCTGCAAGCAAAACAATGACTCTGCACCAAGCATTCATTAATACACAGCAAGCAAAAGAACAATTAAGTGTCTCATACTCAAGCAAGTTGCATTTGCAAATACTCAACCGGTTTGCAGATACTCAAGTGACCAATGCGTGGATGGTTTGGATACTCAAGCAATTTGCGTTTGCGCATACTTAAGGAGCTGGGGTGCGGATGCTTTGGATACGCAAGGGACCAATGTGCAGGCAATTTGATACTCAAGCAAATTTCATTTGCAGATACTCAAGGAGCTGGTGTGTAGACGCTTTGGATATTCAAGCTACGACCAAGCAGACAATTTGATACTCAAGGGATGCAGTGACAAGCCCTATGCCAAGGACTCATTCTTGATCAACACCAATTCAGATTACATCTTAGTCCACTACTATGATGAAAATGAATAGATTGAGTGAGAAATTTTCCTGGACGCATATTCAGGTGCAAAAAGTYCCATTTGAAACAGGTGTGATGGTTTCAGATGGGCATAGATTTCAMTATGTGTCTTCTAGCCCAACAACATACAGAGTTATTCACATGAGTAAAATAGTTTGATGAAGCATTATTCCATTAAGCTCACTGAAGTCGTGATGGACACTATATGCAAGAAGCCGTTGCTCTGAGAATTGAAGTCATTAATGCCATCACTGGCTATTCCAGAGAATCTGACCAGCAGCATACATGTTGAGCAAGACGACACAAGGGGATTTTCTGTTTACTTCTCTATGGATCTGGAAAAGCCTGGTCTCAGATGGTTTTTGTTACCAGCAGAGCAAGGGCATGCAATTCAACTGAAGGCTGGGACTGTTCTTTCTTGGGAATCTAGCATAGTTCCTCATTGCAGTTGYAGTGTCCGTCCAGGGGAAAATGGATCTCCTCCTAGATCCAACTGGCAAATTAAAAAAAAATCTTAATATTATATTGAACCTCGTGAACTAGAAGAGGCACTAGGAAGGCCAGAACCATTGCTTTTGCGAGAAAGAATGCTTCTAGCTGCTCCAAGGGGCGGCGCATCCCTCCGAGGAGGTGTTATGGAGGCGCGACCAGGTTTTATGTACACTGATAGGACGTTGAAGGCCCAAGGCTAGACTCAGAGGACATGTTTAAGTGAGGTATTGGTTCATAGTACTAGTTTGAATGGTATGGTTGGGTGCTGCAGAGAGGAGATCCAACTGGCAAATAAACCAGAAGTTTATTGCAGAACTGGTCTTCTCTACTGCTGGACACRGCAAAGACATCAGAATTGGGCAAAAAGTTCTTGTATGTTTTTGAAGGAGTTTGTTTCCATCAACCCTAACTAGTTGTGGAAATGTTCCACTGCTTCCACCTCAAACACCACATTCTTATTGACATCACATGGCTTCTTCCCCTCTGCCTTGAGCAAAGTGTATTCAACAAGTACAAGTAGGTTGTCAGCAGAGACAAACCGGTTGTGGATTACAATCCCCCTGGTACCATTTCCAATATAATGGATGACATCTGAAGAATTTCTGTCAACAGGGAAAGACAGAATAGCATAAGAAGATGACATGCTACAGAGCTAATTCACAAAGTCTAGCCTCTGATGGAATTCCTCCTTGCTTCTAGTCACCAGCATGGATCTACCCCATGTATTGATTATTTTGTCCAGCACCTCTACAAAAACTGCAAACCTTTGTTTTGTTGGTTGTGCCTGTCTTGGGTGTCAGTGCTACTAATCTCTTTCTTTTCTCCTGTGAGCTCATATATCTACTCATGGACCAACCAKATGGTGCAACATTCAACATTCATGATACCTCTGACAGGAAGTGCTGGTCCTAGTCTGTGATCTGAGGGAGCTGTGATTGKGTTCAAATTTTGGCAGTTGTGATAGCCCCCAAGCATACATCTCATTGGATTCAACACAGCAGAGGCACTCAGAAACAATCCTGACCTTTGTTGTTTTCCACATCAATGTCACTTGTGGGAGGGAAGAGAGCCTTCATCTCTTCAGCCAGGCCATCTGTGACCCAATTCATTGCCTTGTACTGTTCCTCCAAATTCTGGATTTCCCTCTTCCGTTTAGCTTCATCTTCAATCAGGAGAGCTTGTTCAAAATCCTCCACCATGGTCTCTACTATTCTATCCATTGCTTCAACCCCAGTACTAGCTGAGCTTTGGTTTGTGTTTCTACAGTATCTGATAGTTATTGTTTCCATTTCTGTACTGTTATCCGTAATTTTCCTTTCTTTTCCATTAAAAAAAATGACGCAGAATTTCCAGAAAAAATCATGCTCAAGTATTGGTTCAAACAGTTCAGTTTCTGAAAAAATCCTGGCGCAGCCCTTAATTTTTCAGAAGTTGATTGACAATTTTTTAMAGGTCTCTATTGCATTGACAGTTAATATAACAGGTTTTACTGGTAAATATTTGCTTACATTTTCTACTAGTGTTTGTATGGGAATTGCCAATTACTTGTTATAATGGGGTCCGTACTTAATAGCTCTATACAGAAATGCCTGAGTTGCAACGGGTACTTTCGAAAATTGAAATCAATTACAGTACATTCAAGTAGTGGATACGAAGTACTTAGTGGATACGAAGTACTTTAGTTCAGTATTCCTCCGTTTCATACTCCATGCTACAAGGTCGTAATTCGCGAATGATTCTCAAGCCAAAATCCAAATTGATCTTCCTGCACAAACTTGTTAGCTACTAGCTTAGCAGCCACTACTTCTTCCACTACTACTAGTATATGGTATCCCAATTTCAGAGGCACGAAYTAAAAAATGATGTCCAGTATTATCGGAAATGCGCCTCCGCAATGTTTTCTGCGGAGGAAAAATCGTATGGATCCTGGTCCTCGTCCTCGCTGCCTATGGGGGTTCCGATCGGACAGCTCTTTGCCAACAACCTTCCAGCGTYGCCAGGTGTCAAAAGCACCGATGCCAGGGATGACCCASTGGGATCCCTGTCTTTACTGCACTGTGCCCACTCGAGCGCCCGCTCCATGGTGTCGGGGGACTCGGGGTTCTTCCTCGGCGGAAGAACGATGTAGCAGTTGCTTTCGTCTTTGTCGTCGCTGCCACGACGATTGGTTTTGGCTTGGAAAACCTCAGCCAGTTGCTCGTTTGAGTTGTACCCCCAGGACGCCACTRCCGAAAGGATCTTGTTTCCGACAGGCGACCTCGATATCTTATCGAGGGTCGCGACGTTGTCCTCTACCATGACTGCTACGAAATCTATCGGTTCTGAGCCATTGTAWTTGGATTGGCGCTCTTCTAGAATTCTTTGCAGCACGCTTGCTTTGGGACCRGATCCCAACCCAAACACGTGAGAATCTTTWAAGCACAKGCTAGTGGAAACAGCAGCGGGAGCTGYAGTTCCCGATCGAAACAGATCCTGTTTTTCGAGCAACCGGAGTGCAAATTCCTTTGCCTTGGTCGTTATGACGTAAATATCCTCGTTCCCCTTTTCTCTGAGGTAGTAACGAACCGCCTCGCAGGCGCCTCCATAGAATCCRTGYGCATCGATCCAGGAGCCCYCCCCGCTGTCATCGTCGTCGCCCTGGGMAATCCAGGCGTTTCGCGCATCGGACAGGGCTGCCCCATACTCTTGCGCGGAGAATCCCCACGCTTCCAGTGCGTGGTCCTTTAGGCCGCTGTGGAACCTTTGGAACACGGCATCGCGCTTCGAAAGTCGTTTTGGCGCTGCGCCTGCGTCTTTCGAGGCGTTTGGGCCTAGCAAAGTTTCTTCCTCGTCCCCGCATGCCAAAAACCGGATCAACAGGATCGATTCCCACCCGACGTACAGGATGGGTCGAACGTACCGAAAGTCTTCCATCAGGGTTTTCATTCTTTGAGAGTCGCGATCGAGGTCGTCGATCCATTGACTCGGTTTGCTCGGATCCGAGGATTCGTTCCAGATTAATCTGCAAGCCCGCAGCCCACTGTGAAACGTTTCGTTTACGCTGTCGCACAAAACGCCATCGAAATCCAAGCAATATAGAATCTTTTTCTTTCGTTTGGCCGAGGGCATTGTGTCGGACGGATCTTCGCTTCCCGACATATTCACTCCTCTCCTTTCTTAGGCTGGTGGTGTATCGCTGTGTTTGAAGTTTTGAATTTCCAGAGAGAATGAGTCCACCAGGAGGAAGCTTCAAAAACAGAGGAATGTGCCGGACCAATAGCTATGATATCGTACAATACTCATCGGATCGAAGTGGGATTTGGGATTTCAATACCCAAATGGAAGCATATGTTTGATATAGTTCTGTGCACAGTAAGACAGGTACCATACAATCCCCTTGTCTCAGCACACTCATAACCTCTTGAGTGTTTTYGAGATTTTGAGACTACGTTACGATACTCGTAGGTAGGTCCGGTAGTGGGTACCGTACCGTACAGTACTTAACTTAATTTTGTAATTCACATTAATCTCGCATACAACCTTTTACTATTCTTATTTTCCAATGCTTTCTTTTAGTGTAAATGTTCATCTTATGGCGAGATTTCGCTGAGCACGTGCGTATACGTATTTTCGATTCCTCAACGCATGTGGTAGGGCTATATCGTCATCGAAGCTGAGAAGACATCTTGCCATTTTTGTTTYATTATTGTATAGCCTGGGTCATTACTCCGACTAAAGTCTTTTGAAGTCATTTCATGCTATTTTCRCAGCCCGCGGAAAACAAAAGTTTTTGTTTCACAGCATCAAGTACGTACAGTTACTCGTACCTTCGAACCAGAAGGTGACTTCGCCTCAATCCTGAATCCAACGAAATATCCCTAATCCGATAGTATCAATTTACCACCAACGGAGAAAAGTAGAAGAAAAAGTGCATTGTCGTTTCGCSATTTTGCTCTCGGGTCACCAATAGYGATCAACCACGAATTAGTCCGCGGACTTGTTGTGGTGCACTTCGCAATAAAGCATGGGAGCTCCGGTGGAAAAGGCTGCCGCTGGCAACGGCAAAACTAGCAACAAGGTCCGTGTGGTATGTCGAATTCGTCCCTTAGCAAAGTACGAAATCAATAATGGTTCTAAATCCATCGTTACGAGGGTCCCCGGGCTCRCTGTTGATGGTCCCGAAACCCTTCAAATTGAGGAATCCCACGACGGTCAGGATAGCACCCGATTTTATGAGCTCGATGCTGTTTTGGACGGTGAATCCACCCAAAAAGATGTCTACGAGAAGAGTGGTGCTCGAAAGGCCATCTCCGAGGACTTGTTTTCTGGATATAACGCCACCATTTTGGCCTACGGGCAAACTGGTAGCGGTAAAACATACACGATGGGAACTGCACAAAATACCGTGGATTCGACCAGGGACGAGGAAAACGACGGTGTGATCCCGCGCGCATGCCACGATTTGTTCAATACAATCCGTGAACGGTGCGACGGCCAAGCCAAGGTTGATTGCAGCTACATGGAAGTTTATAACGAAGAAATCCGGGATTTGCTGATCGATTCAGWAAAGRACGGTGGTCCCAAGCAAGACCTTCGCATCCGCGAAACACTGGACGGACAAATCTATGTCCGTGGGTTGACAGAACGGACCGTGACTTCACCCTTAGATGTTTACAAAATCATGGAGGAAGCTAACAAACGACGCGTCGTAGCTTTTACCAAGATGAATGCCTCATCGAGTCGATCCCACGCGATTTGTGTGTTGAGAATAAAGGGCGTAATTGTGGTTGCGGACGAAAACGGAAATCCGAATGCCGGAGACGATGGAGTCTCACGAACCTTCGAAGCCAAGTTGACATTGGTGGATTTGGCGGGTAGCGAGCGACTCAAAAAGACGCAAGCTTCCGGAGGCCGAGCGAAAGAGGGAATATCGATCAACAAGGGACTCTTCGTCTTGGGTCAGGTTGTCTCTGCGCTGGCTGAACGCGGTCGGATCCTCTCTGAAATCGAGGAGCAGAAAAAGCTCAACAAACCTAGAAAACGGAAAGTCCTACCACCRAGGAAGCCACCGTATCGCGATTCCAAGCTAACACGCCTCTTGCAAGATTCTCTCGGTGGCAATTCTAGAACGATTATGGTCGCATGTTGCAGTCCRGCGGATTTTAACGTCGAGGAAACTRTCAACACGCTGAGGTATGCCACACAAGCACGAAATATTTCCAACACAGCCACCGCGAACCTCGTCGAGACCATTAGCCAGGAGGAAGCAAGGAAACTGAAACGCGATAATACCCTGCTAAAGCAACAAATCGCGGATCTGGAATCTACAATTTCGAAATTGACACAGCAAGTCACACCGGAYGATCTCGAGCGGAGCATGTCCATTCTTCAGCAGGAACAGAATTTCCACCAGCAACACCAGCAAGCAGCTRCAGAGCGTGCGAAACGTCGAATGACTGTTGCCATTGTGGAGGAAGARGAGGAGGAGRAAAGCARTAGTGACGAAAGCGACGCGAACAGCACGGATGCCGCCGGCCTCGACAGGGACACGTCTCATCGGTCCAATACGTCCAGCAAAGACGGAMAAAAGAAATTAAAGAACAAAATCAATCTCGAGGAACATTTTGAGCGATCTGCCCGTCTCAACGACGAGCGCTCGGACGATGAAGGCTCGCTACTGGCCGACGATATTTTCGATAATAGAGACAAGCCGCTGTACGAGCGTCCCAAGCGAAGCCCAAAAAGGAGTGGGGGTGGAGCCGAGAGCGTCCACAGTGTAAAAACGATCGAKGAAGTCGAAGAGGACAATGTTGAGCTAGAGGCCCGCCTGCTGCTTGCGGAGAGAGACGTYCGGGCAACCGCCTTCGACTCGGCTGTCGTGCTGCCAGCGCTCAAGAAGCGTGTGAAGCAACTGGAAGACTCCCTCGACGAATCAAGGTGGATCCAGTCGGAAGCCGAGAAATTGAAGGAGGAATTGGTCCAAACGAAGTCCGAAAAGGAATCGGCTCAGAAAGCTGCCAAGCAATTATCGGAGTTCATGAAGAAACAAAAACAAGATCTCGGCTTCCAGGGGAACGAGGTSATGATGAATCAATTGTWCTTCTGCAGGCACAAGCTCAACGAGGACTGGGTGTACCTCGTTGTGATAATCGTGAAGTATTTCAAGGAAGAAATGAGGCTTCTCGGGGATTACTTCCAACTGGTTWCCAAGATTGTCGATTCACCCGACGTACTGGGATTGTTGGGGACCCTCAACGGGAAGATGCGGAACGACAAGCTCCAAAACGCCGGGAAGGGATGGTGGAAGAGCAAGGAGCAGAAGGCCAAGGAGCTCRAGACCGTGGAAGCCGAAAAGCGACTGCGMAATGATATGTTGAGGACGCACCTCCAGTTCTTCAACGAGCGGCTCGAGGAGGTCGAGGATSATGTGGACTATCGCAGCCAATCCCTCGAGGACATCCTGGAAGTATTGACCCTCGAGAGGGCTGTGCTTCAGAACGAATTTGAGTCGGATGAAGAAGTTCATGACATCCAAGATTTGTTCTTAAAGAAAGGACGGAAATTGTTGACAGAGCTCCGGGTGTTGATGACCGAGAAACCATTCATCAAAGACAATGGCAACTCGGAAGAAAAGGAGGAGGAAGAAGAGGAAGCGAGTGGCACAGATGAAATTAGCCGCAGTGCCATCGGTTCCACGAAGAAGAAGAAAGTGCTGAATCAAGAAGGAAAGGAAGAAAAGGCAAAACCGAGAGAAGAAGATGAGAAAGAGACAGAGCCTGCAGTAGCAGAAGTAGTAGAGAAGGCGAAGGAAGTTGCAGAGGAAGTGATCGACCGATCGGCCCCTCTCACCGAAAGCTTGACCGAACCAAGCTTGACCGAACCAAGCTTCTCCGGCAGCGCTTCGGACAGTGACTCCGTCAGTGATACGGATAGCGAGGAATCTCAGTTGCCGGCAATCGCAGAAGAGAAAGAGTCAGAGTCGGTGGAAGAGGAGGAGGAGGAG